TGAAAGTCGGTGTTTGTGGAACTATGCGAGATGGAAAGGCCACCCCCGAAGATGGTCCTTATTGCTCCATGTTCTTGGTAACGTAGTATTCCGGTGTGTTTGGTGTGGTGGTGATGTAAGAAAGGTGATGATTGCGTGGGTTATCTTGTGGATGCGATTTGTATTAACTCTGATTTTACAATTCAAATCCGTCCACAATGATCGGGCTACCTAGTAATTGGCCTGGCGTGACAACTCCGTCCACAAAGATCGGGCTACCTAGTAATTGGCCTGGCGTGCCACGTGGTCGGTGTGATCGTGGGTGAGAGGAGGCCGCGTTGCAAAGTGGTCATGGAGGAGAGGAGACCACGTGCCAATCACGCGCGTGGAAGCTGAGACTGAAAGACTCAGAAAGAGGAATGAAACAAGTGCTTGGGGGTATCGTTATGTGAAATCAACACCGAGAAGAGATAAATGCGTACTCGGCGAATCTGATTTCACATCGATGGCGGGGCCAGGGGAATTGAAAATCGAGATTAAAGGAACAAAAAAAAAAAATTCGAGATCGGTTGTTGTGATTGATGAGCGCTAATGAGTCAGTCGATTGAAGGGAGAGATCGGGATGAGAGAGTGCAGAGAGATATAGGGATGAGAGCGCAGAGAGAGGTGGGGACGAGAGCGCAGAGGAGGGAGAGTTGGTGAGGAGATAAGTTAGCAGCGAGGGCTGTGGAGAAGGATCATTTTGCAGCTGAATCTGGTCGCTTTTGCGACTGGATACAGCTAAGGAAAGTCCTTGTCTGTGTGGCGTAGGGATGCATGGGGACGTCAGAACGGGAAGTTGAGGGAGGGAAAGGAGAAGAGCGCCGGAGATCGGCGGAAGCTATAATATAATATTTAACCAAGGTTGGGATGCGAGGGCGGGGCTGTACTTGTGAGACCGGGATGACTTTTCACCCCAAAAAAAATTACGTCTCACTCTCAGCAGCAAGAAAATTGTGAAATCAATCGTTCAATCAGCTGTTGATGGAAGTTGGGTGGAGGGGGAATGGGAGGGCAAGTCAGGGGAGAGAGAGAGAGAGAGAGAGAGAGAGAGAGAGAGAGAGAGAGAGAGAGAGAGAGAGAGAGAGAGAGAGAGATGGAAGTCGGGTGGAGGGGGAGTGGGAGAGCAAGGCAGGAGAGAGAGAGATAGAGAGGGCTTAGTGAAATGTGGAACGGGAAAGGCGGGTGAAAGTGAGGCCGTCGATAGAGGTTGCAAAGACGATGGGCAAGTTATGTCCAGAGTGCAAGTAATGAAAGAGCAGATGGCGTCATCAGAGAAGGACACGTGTCGGTTAATAGCGAAGGACAGGACGACTCTTTCGAATTGATTGTTTGATTGGATGGTTGATTGAATGATTGATTGATTGAATGATTGATTGAATGATTGATTGGTTTAGGGTTTAGGGTATGGGTCCAGATCTGTTGGAATCACCAGCTTTCGCCGAGCACAACGTGTATTAATCATATTGATTGAATGTATACAAGCGAACTTTCCGGTCCGTTACAGATATATAATGAGGGTGCGTTCTGTTCGCGGGAAGTGAGTATGACTAGGAATTGAAGTCCTAGCCTTTTTGCCTTAACCTAAGTCTCCTTTTTGTTCCCCCCCCCCCAAAAGAAAAGAGAAACGTTGAATTTAGTCTCGTTTCTGAGCGTGCAGAAGATTGGTAGCGGCTTGACCTACGGATATGTAGACTATGGTGGGCGTGCTTCCCACACGTTCGTTCATATGAGATTAGCGTGTATGCATGTGCCTCGTGCGGGGAATTAGGGCACGTTCATCTGACCGGAATTACGGCCCGATTTGACCGCAATAATGTCTAGAAACAGATGCAGGTAGAAAAGTCAGTCCTACTAGAGTGAGGATATATGCCCTTAGGAAGGGGCGGCATTATATGCCAGCTACGCAATCGGTAGCTACTAAGGTGCCTCCCACCGAATAGAACGCACGGTCATTATCGCCGGAGTGAGCGACTGAAAGTTGGCTGTGGCCCAAATACAGCTAGAATGCTTTTTTTTTTTTTTTTTTTTAAGTTAAAATGCCCTTCCACGTTCTATTCCGGTCGGTGAGAAGGATTTGTCCATGGGGCACGTAGTGCAATTAGGTCATCATCCAGCAAGATCAGGAGTTATAGCAGTATTTGGTAGAATTTTCAGTCCAGATACGCCCGGTCATTATAGCAGTATTTGGTGCAATTTTCAGTCCAGATACGCCCGGTCATTATAGCAGTATTTGGTGCAAT